GGGGGGGCTCTATCAATTTCATTCACAAGCAACATAAACTTTTCCTTACCGGTGAGAACATTAACTCCAGATTTCTTACCTCCGTGAACTTGAACAGAAGAAGAGCCAATCTCATTTTTTTTCATTTTACATGCTTCTTTGTTTGTTCTTCGGCACAAGCCAATATATGAGCATCAACATATTCATTATAGAGCTCATAAAGAAGCTCATTAATTTCAGCAGCTTTTTCCACAGCATTTACTTCACCATAAATTATCGGAAAAGCATGATTAATAAGTACCATTTTATACCTCGGATCTAGAATAGCACCAAATGACAACAACACGTTACACTCTCCCCAATATTTATCGAATTTCAATGCCATATCCGAGGTCATAGCCCTGATGTGCTCAGATTCATCTAAAGCCTTTTCTTTTAACAGCTCTTTAACCCTATAAAGCTCCACAAGAAAAAGATTAGAAGTTGGATAGTCGGATCCCAAAATCATGTTGGTGATTTCATAAAAGATACCAAGAAATTTGCACACTTCTTCCACTTCGGTCCACTCATATTCATCTGGAACATAACTAAACCCAACATCAATATCCTTGTACCTCAGAAAAACATTCTTAAACTCTAAAGCCGAGGCCAACATGAGATATGTACTATTCCATCTAGTCATGCAATCCAAAATCAACTTTCTAGAAGGACACTGCAATTGTTTTGCAATTTTTGCAAATTGAATGAGGCGAGACTCAGAATTATTCAAGTACTTAATCCCATCTCTAACGACATCAACCACATGTCCAATGTTTTTCAAACCATCTTTTACTAACAGATTAAGTATATGAGTACAACACCTCACATGAAATATTTTTCCATCAATACTTAATTTCTTTCTTAAAGCAAAATCCTCTTTAAGTCTCTTGATACACAAATCATTATAGGAAGCATTGTCCACAGTGATGCTACAAATTTTGTTATGAATCTCCCAATCAATGAAACACCTACTTAATGCCACAGTGATGCTACAAATTTTGTTATGAATCTCCCAATCAATGAAACACCTACTTAATGCATCAGCTATAATGACTCCGGTATGTAGAGGAGGTACATTACAAAAGTTCAACAACAACAACAACAACATACCCAGTATATTCCCAACAGGTTGGGGTTTGGGGGTTCAGTTGTACGCAGACCTTACCCTTGTAATTATACAAGGAGGTTGTTTCCGTAGCGAACCAAGGTGCATTGCGTAAATCAGACCTGGGTATACTCACGAGTAAAGGTCGATGGGCCTTGGGCGAAAGCGTAAATCAACGACTCACGAGTAAAGTTGTACAACCTCTGTAGAGTGTAAAACTAGTATACCAGCCGTGCTCACGGTCACGAGTGGCCTTGGACCCTTGCGAAGTAATGATTTATGGGATAATGATTATAATTACTATTTTTGCTATACATTATTCATGTTCACTTGATTATATGGTTATTTGGGATTTTGCATAATTTTGGCTACTCAAATACTTATTATAATGTGACTTAAATAAAAGCAAATGCAGTTAAACCAGTGCCTAGCCTTTTCGAGCCTCATGAACTCCATGTTATTCTTGTTGAGTACGAGATGTACTTACACTTGTTTTTATATTTTATTTGGATAAAAATCCCGAATAGGTATATGTGGCAATAATTATGAGTATGATGATGATTATGAGAAATATAAATCATGAATAACTTTTAAGTCGTTGAGTTTGGAAATGTGAAAATTATATCAATAGATTTGTCTTGAAAATTACTCTCATAAAAATATACATATATAACTTTTCAATAAATATTTTTATAGAAAAAATAAGTCAAATTTGTGCTTTGGAGATCATGCCGCTGTCCTAAACGTCATCTAATTGTGATACGGAGGGAGTAATGTATTATATATTCGTGATGTAATAAACACCGCCATTTGGTGATTGATTCCTGAGCTCACATATGATTTTGTATCCAAATTTGTTCTTTAAATTAGGGTACAACAAATACACTTGCATTGGCCAATCTACTCAGCTACTCGACATGCATGACGACTAAACAAGTCGTGTACGCGTTGTAAGTACTGTACTCTGACCTTTGTTACGATCCCTCATATGGAAACTTGGAAACATTCCTTCGCACCATTAAGTTTAGGATTCATTGAAACTAATTAAATGTGTCATGTATAACTAGCTTCAAAAAATGTCATGCGCGAGTTTAATCAGGCAGACAAGATATTAGGAGGCAATGTGGATTCATAATTTGTCGTCGCTAATAATAACCTCTTTTTTCAAATATACTTGGTTTCTTTTGAGGATGAGATAACCAAAATAACCACATAAATTTGTATTTAAGTGTTTCTATAACATTTTTTATGAGAGAAATGGGAGATTATGTTTCAGGAACGGTAAAGTTCCAAGTTATTAAAGTGGCCAAATAAAAATGTAAGTATTTGAAAATAAAGTTAGTACATTACAACTAGTGAGGGACATAGAAATTTTCTAGAGTCCATGCGAAATATAACCACTTATAAGTGACAATAAGTTCATAAATAAACATTTTTGAAAAAGGAAAGATAACAAATCTCCTCAGCGCCAATGGCTGGTAGTTGAGTTTCTTTTTTCAAAAGGGAATATATTAAAAATATTCCAGCTTCGATTGATGCATATAACTTTTTATTATTACAAGAAAGCGTAAAGTAGTTTAAGGAACCTTAAAAACAAAGTTTTGAGCCATCAAAGCGACAAAAGTTTTCAAAACAAATAACCTAAAGAGCAATTCTATTGGTAAAACTCCAACTATGTTTTACAAACACTTTCATCGCAACTATTTCAATAGTCCTGCAAGTCATATTCATCATATTGTGATCCTTCTCCTTCTGAAGTAGGATCCAGTATCTGATCCAATATGTCCTCTTGAATATAACCTGCAAATAATATGGTGCTAATAAGGCCCTATTAAACACAGCGTATTGCTTTGCCTAGCTAATACTCATATATAAGCTTTTCCGTCCTCACAAAAGAAACATTTAAGGGGTGTTTGGTTGCTAACTATATTTTGCCATATATATACTTCACTAAATTTAAACAAAATTCCATTGAACTCTGTAATATATATTAGAGTATAAAAACATAGTAAAATTCTCTTAGGTACCACAAAATGTAGCTTTTAATTTCCTAGCCATATATCTTTGCACCACTGTTTTCAAATATACTTGGCCACTTACGCGGATAAGATAAACAAGATGCCCTCACAAATTTGCATGTAAGTGTTTCTATTGCATCCATGCAACATATTTTATATGGGGGATTATGATTCCTGAGACGTGAAGTTCAAAGATAGAAAAGTGATCAAATAATTAAGGCAAGTATTAGGAAGCAAGTTAATTAGTACATACAACATGTGTAATGATCATCCATCTCTGTTTCAAATCATAATTCATTTTATTTAAGCTTTATTTTTGGTTAAGAATAGAGTGCCAAATCGGATCAAGCACTCTTGACTCCAGACGTTTTTGACTCCAAATTCAAGTTCAATTATCAGATGAACATACATATTCCCATAGAAAAAGCTTGATGGATTAATTTTAAAGTTGGACTTTAAAAAAATATATGATAATCTAAAGTAGCCTTTTATACAAGTCATTAGAATAAAAGGATTCTCACCGGTGTGGTG